CACATCCCGCGATCGCGATCGGGACCCACGCCTTGGCGACGGGAGTCGCCCGGCCACCTATGCTGGACGCCGTGGCCCCCTTGACGGGAGTCCAGTCGACCTCGATCCTGTAGCCCGAGTCCCTCATCGCTTCCACGAGCACCTCCAGGTCGGGCTTGCCGATGAGCGCCTGAGCCGCGGCTGTGTCCACCAAGGCGTGGGCTCCAGCGCTCTTCAAGCTGAGGAAGGCGGGCAGGACTTCCGAGTCCAGGTTCGGTCGCAGGAGTCGAGTCCATGTCCGAACCAGTTGTGCTCGTCGCTCTCGCCGAAGGTCGTCAGTCGCGATAGTGCTGGCGGGGTCGAAGTCGCCGTTGTCCTCGAAGAAGAACGTCGGCCCGTTGCCACCTCTCGTTGCTTTCGCACCTTGTCCCTTCTCGGTCGCCAACCTGTCGCTCTTGGATCGATACAGGTTCTTGCAGCCGTCGGCCCAGTGACCCTTCTCGCCGCAGTTCGCGCACCTGGAGCGCCTCTTCAGGTCCGTCGTCACCAATCGTTTGAAGCCTGGTCGTGCCCTCTTGTGGTCTAAGGAGCCTCGGTCCGTGCGCTGGGGTACCTTGAGCTTGCGCGACTCCTTCCAGGCCCTGCGACGTGCCGTAGCGCTCCTCGACCACTGCAGCCAGCACGTCAATCACCTCCTCCTCGTCCAACTCTTGCCCCTCCAGCATCTCGAGGAAGGCCTCCGCCTCCTCGATGGGTAACTCGACTTCGTCCCCGAGGTCGTCGTCGTAGAAGACTTCCTGCACGTCGGGGGTTTCGCCTTCCCAGTATGTCCTGACCGGAGGCGGGAGGGCCGCGGGAAGGACCTTCTTCTCTGTCACGTCCATCTGGAGGAGTGCCTGTCGTGTCGACGCGAAGTCGGCCCTCCCCATCGCTAGGGTTCTCATGTTCAACCTGTTTTGGCTCGACAAGGCTGCGCCCTCCTCCAGGTATCTCGCCTTCAGCCCATCAGGTAACGGTAATCCGTGGGTCTCCGCCTCAGCCACTTGAGCGTCTCGTCGAAGAACGTAGTCGGTCAGAGTCTCGCCCCTGTGAATCATGTAGTCGAACAGTACTCTGTTCTGTGCTTCGCGCGCTCGATCTCCTGGTCGTTCGCCGTTGAGCACTGCAAGGTGAACGAGCATCTTCTTCACTCCGTCTTCGGTGTCCAGTGTCTCTCTGATCACCTTGAACTTTAGTTGAATCTCGGTCGGGAAAGACTCAACTATATTGGGGGCCTGATGTCTCGGCTCGTGTCCGGTGCGCCCCGACCAAGAGGTAACATTCTGCCGAAACAGCTCCAAGTATTCAAAACCTAGCCAGCTCGGTGGTGGCCCAAAGTCTTTGCTACGACTGTTGGAGCTCCCGCTCCAGTCGGCGCTGGCCGACCACCAGTCTCCCCAGGCCCCGGTCCACCACCAGCTCGGATCCCATCGATTGCCGCCGGCGTGGTGGTCACTCTCGGTCTCGAAAGTCGAGGCGTCCTTGTGACGTGGCCTCTCGTTCCACCAGGGCACGTCTGTCGCTGCGTCGGCGGTCCTGGATCTCATCGCACTCTGCGCCAGGTCGTCAGCGCCCTTCTCCTCGCTGTCTCTCGCTCTTCCCTCACCATCACAGTGCTCTCCCTCAACCATCGCTCCGCTACCAACTGTAATCGTTCAGACGGGCGGTGGTGATGGGGATACTGATCGTTTTGAGCTGGAACGGGGCAAGAGGGACGGGGCGCGGGACATCCTGGGTGTCAGTGCGCATCTAAGCCAATAGGCTGCGGAGGCAGAGGGCAAGAGGGGTAGGACGGAGAGGACACGGAGAGGAAACGGGGGACAGGGACGCATGCGGGCGGTCCCACTGGGGGCTTCGGTGGAGCTTTGGGGCCACGAAGCGCTGTACTGGGTGGGCGAAAATGCCAAATTGGGTGTGGGGGACGCATGCGGGCGGCCCCACTGGAGGCTTCGGTGGAGTTCCCTATGGGGTCACGAAGCGTTGTAGTGGGTTGGTGAAAATGCCAAATTGGATGTGGGGGACGCATGTGGGCGGTACCACTGGGGGCTTCGGTGGAGTTCCCTATGGGGCCACGAAGCGCTATACTGGGTGGGTAAAAATGCAAAATTGGGCGTGGGGGATGCATGCGGGCGGTCCCACTGGGGGCTTCGGTGGAGCTCCCTATGAAGCCACGAAACGCTGTACTGGGTGGGTGAAAACGCCAAATTGGGTGTCGGGATGCACGCGGGCGGTCCCACTGGGGGGTTCGGTGGAGCTCCATATGGGGCCACGAAACGCTGTGATGGGGGGTGAAACGCATGGAAGAAGGAGGAAGGAGGAGGAGGAGGAGGAGGAGGAGGAGCAGGAGGAGGAGGGGAGGAGGAGAAGAGGAAAGGAACGCGGGGACCGTGTCTTCAAAACGAGGACCCAACACCACAGGACGGTCGGGAAAAAGATACCCCCCTGACTCTTTCTAAAACTATGTTTGCATACTCCTCCTGTAGAGGGACACGCCCGACGTAAAGCTGGGCGCACACACGACCGGAGTGCCGCGCGCAGGCCCTCCGGGGAGAGCACGCAGAGCGCACCGACATGATGCGGGGGGGCCTGGCGAGCCCGGCGGCAGCAAGGCTGGACACTGGAAAGCCATCCTCGGCTACACGCGAAGTGACCCTGGGCAAGAATTAGGTCGGGCATGTCCTCCTGCAGGCGGGCTTCGGACGACAAATCAAAAATAGTCAAACAAATGCACCCAAATGAATAGGAGACTCGTCCCCAGGCTTTCTTTGATTATCTTTGAATGTTCCTCCTGTAGAGGAACATGCCCGACTTGAGGCAAGAGTGACCTTCACAGAAGAAGAAAAAGCGTCACAAACATAAACTTTTGGCGCTCCGCGCGGATTTCTCGCTTCTGCTCTGGACTCCCCTCCCTGGCGCGCGGAGGGCGCGCCAGGGGCGGCGCCAGAGGCGCCGCCAGGGAGGTCCAGCGCGGATCCGAGAATTCTGCGCGGAGCGCCGAGACTTTATATTCATGCAGTTTTTTCCTCTGCGAATTCAGTGCGTGGATTCAGGGAGCGCAAGGTGGCCAAACCCAAGCGCGCAAGGAGCCACTGTAGCATCGCGCGTTCAGCGATCGGGGGCACCCCTAGGAGCCGGCACCAAAGGTCACTCTGGCGAAGGGTCACCGTTACGTTACGTGTAGTCGACATCTGGCCACGCGCGCATCCAGCTCTGGCCCAGGCCGGCCGCGTCAGGTCCAACTTCCCAGAGATTCAACGCATTGAACAAATCACGACGGAGGTTTTTTTCTTTTTGTTGTATTTTTCGGCCTCGAGGGGCCCTCGCTGGGCCCCTGGACCGTTGAAAAAAAAACGGCTCAGGATGAAAAACCGGTCCTGGGGAATGGGTCGAGACGTCCAGGGACCCCGCATTCAACAGATTGCGCATCGGATCTCTGGATCGTCGGTAGAACATTCCCCCAGCAGTGCTTGCGCAAAGAGGCTCTGAATTTTGGAGGCTTGGTTGAGGGGGCCGACACAAACACAGGGGGCTGCCGCCACCAGGGGAAGGTGACCCTAGACTTGGACGTTGGTGGTCATCTTTTGGCCACCTAGGAAATTCATATATTACCACCGACACCGAGAACGGGAACATCTTGCCTCGATGGAAGCACACCGCTGACATTTGTGTTGGTGTCAACCTCTAGGCCTCCGATGATTGTCGTTCTAAGCTCGGCGGCGAGCGAGGGGGGTAAATGAGGAGGAGAAGGCCTTCTCAGCAGGCGGCGAGACTTCTCGGAAGCCCTCGCGCCTTCCAGGAAGCTATTGTTCTTTGGGAAAGGCCCAGAGAACTCCTCGGAGGGCTGGGGGGACTGCCAGACCCTCTGAGAAGGCCGTCTTCTTCTCACCTCCACCCCTCGCTCGCCGCCGAGAAGTAGTTGGGTGGGCTTGCGGGGCTTCGCCAGGCCACCGTCCGTGGTCACCTCGGGACCGCCCTGCGCGCTGGCCAGGTTCTCAATGTCGTCCCAGGTGTTCGCCCTACCCTTCCCCTTCCTCCTCCTCCTCCTCCTCCTCCTCGCCTTCCTCCTCCTCCTCCTCCTCCTCCTCCTCCTCCTCCTCGCCTTCCTCCTCCTCCTCCTCGCCTTCCTCCTCCTCTCCTCCTCCTCCTCCTCCTCCTCCTCCTCCTCCTCCTCCCCAACCGCCTCCTCCTCGTCCTCCTCCTCCTCCTCCTCCTCGTCCTCGTCCTCCTCCTCCTCCTCCCCAACCGCCTCCTCCTCGTCCTCCTCCTCCTCCTCGTCCTCCTCCTCCTCCTCCTCCTCCTCCTCCTCCTCCCCAACCGCCTCCTCCTCGTCCTCCTCTTCCTCCTCGTCCTCCTCCTCCTCCTCGTCCTCCTCCTCCTCCTCTCCTCCTCCTCATCCTCCCCCTCCTCCTCCTCCTCCTCCTCCTCCTCCTCCTCCTCCTCCTCCTCCTCCTCCTCGGGCGATGGCAGGGCGAAGCGATCACCGCGGGCGGAACTCTGGTCCGTGCCGAAGCAGTCCGAGCAAGGCGGTGTGGGTGAAGCGGTCCGGAGAGAAGTGGTCTGGGCGAAGCGGTCCGCGGGCAAAACAGGTTCCCGAACTGCATACGCATGCTATTTCAGACCCGACCCGACCCGAGGGCGTCACCACCCGGGCTTCCCACGCTTCTGCTACCAGCCTGGCGAGAAGTCGTGATGCCCGCCTGGCTTCCCCACGAAGAGGTTCACGTGCTCGCAGTGACCTTTCCCTGAGATCCGACGTTGCACAAAATACAACGTCGCAAAAGAAAAACGCAACCTGGACCCCATCATTCTGCGTCATTTTTCGAGCCGGATCGATCTTTGAGGGTCCCGGGGCCCGAGCTTGAGCGAAAACGCCGCTGTAAAAAACTGCAGCGCTAGGATTTCAAGGTTCCAGAAGATATTCGCAGCCAGTTCTGAGGGCGACGAGGTGGAGGACGAGGAGGAGCATGAGGAGGAGGATGTTCGCCCGATGCTCTGAAACGCACGCTTTTTTTCACATACCGAGGGGCATGGTTGAACGAAGCACTCGCACAGTGGAAGTCGACAGGGGACAGTCGCGAGCCAGACCAGCGGCCTCAGACAGGGGGAGAGGGGGGGGGGAATACGCGGAGGTGGAGGGGAGCGCGTGGCAAGGAGGGGGCGATGCGAAGAGCGCGCCAACGCTGCGGAACTGTTTCTCCTGCTCATACCGTAGACTCGAAAGGGATAGGCTTGAGCCACACCAGCGGCTCAGAAAGGTCGGCTGGAAGAGGGGCAGTGGCCGTGAATGGGCTGCCGTTGACGTCGCGCATCACCAGGCGGCGGCAGTGCAAGAAGACACGCGGGAAGCTGCGATCGCCTGCCCGTGATTCGAGACACCATCCTCCCTCCTCCTCCTCCTCCTCCTCCTCCTCCTCCTCCTCCGCCTCCTCCTCCTCCTCCTCCTCCTCCTCCTCCTCCTCTTCCTCCTCTCTCCCGCCTCCCTCTTCCCTCCCACCTCCTCCCTCCCTCCTCCCTCCCTCCCTTCTGCTACCTACCTTATCCTCGCTCCCTCCCTCCATCCCCCATTCCACTGTCCTCCTCCTTCGCCACCGCCTCCTCCTCCCCACCTAGCGCCTCCTCCTCCCCACCTTCGCCCTGCTTCACTCCTCCAAGTCCTGCTCCGCCCCAGTTCTCCTTCCAGTGCCCCTCCTCCCAACGGCCATGTGGAACCACGACCGCCTCGCAGGCGCCCCGACAGCAAGGCCATGCTGCGGCCTCCCCGCAGGTCGGCATGCTGTGGCTTCCCTCGGTGAGCCAACTCGAGGCCCCTTCCCCGCTCGCCCGGCCCCCCCTCCCGTGGCTCGTCGTCGTCGTCGTCGTCGGCCGTCCGGCCTGGGCCCTCGCAGGCCGAGTACATGGGGTCCGACACCAGTGGGCGGCCGATGTACGCCATGTGCGCGCGGATCTGGTGCGTCCGGCCCGTCACCGGCCTGCAGGCTGATATGTGTTCCATCTCGTTAAGGGGCTCAACGACTTCTGCCGTCCCTCGACTCGCGCCGGAGCAGCCACGATGTGCTCCAGATGTCCCTGGAGGCCTTTGGATTCGCCTCGATGTGCCTGGATTTCCCTGGACTGACATGGGTTGTTCTGCATTTGTCTTGATTTATCTGGCTCGACCCCCACAAGTCTTAGGTCGGGCATGTCCTCCTACAAACGGAGTTTGGAAGAGAAACAACAAATTGTCCAGTAGCCCGGCGAACGACCCAACCATATGCAGTTGTGAGTACCGTCGTTGCGGGTATCGCCTTCGGGAGATCTCCTCATGGGGCCATGAAGAATGCTAAGGGTATGCCGACGTGGGGCGGGGCCGCCATGTGGGCGCTGCCACTGGTGCTTTAGGCGGGACGCACTGCGGTGTCGCGAAAAGTGTGAGGGGCGCGCCGCAGGGGGGCGAGGCCGCCACTGGGGCCTTCGGTGGAGCTTCCTATGGGGCAGCGAAACAGTGTAACGGGTGGGGGAAACGCATGAGCTTCCTACGGGGCCACGAAACGCTGTACTGGGTTGGTGTGACGCATGCAGGTGGTGTCCCTGGGGCCTTCGATGGAGCTCCCTACGGGACCACGAAGCGCTGTACTGGGATGTGGGGGGCGCATGCGGGCGGTGCCACTGCGGCCTTCGGTAGTGTTCCATATGGGGCCACGAAATGCTGTACTGGGTGGGGGGGTGACGCTTTCGGGCGGTGCCACTGGGGCCTTCGGTGGAGCTCCCTGTAGGGCCACGAAACGCTGTACTGGGTGGGCGGTGACGCATGCGGGCGGTGCCACTGGGGCCGTCGGTGGAGCTCTATGGGGCCACCAGGCGCTGTACTGGGTGGTGGTGACGCATGCGGGCGGTGCCACTGGGGCCTTCGATGGAGCTCCCTATGGGGCCACGAGACGCTATACTGGGTGGGTGTGACGCATGCGGGCGGTGCCACTGGGGCCCTCGGTGGGGCCACGAAGCGCTGGGTGAGGGGTGACGCATGCGGGCGGTAGCACTGGGGCCTTCGGTGGAGCTCCCTATGGGGCCAAGGACGCAAGCGGGCGGTGGCACTGGGGCCTTCGGTGGAGCTCCCTATGGGGCCACGAAACGCTGTACTGGGTGGTGGTGACGCATGCGGGCGGTAGCACTGGGGCCTTCGGTGGAGCTCCCTATGGGGCCACGAAACGTGCAAGGGGTGTGCCAAAGTGAGTGGGGTGACGAGGAGGGAGGAGGGGGGAGGAGAAGGAGAGGAGGAGAGGAACGCAGAGACCGTCCCTTCAAAACGAGGACCCAACACCACAAGATGGTTGGGAAACAAACAACCAAAAGAGTCAAATGAGTACGACAAGTCGACCCCAGACTATTTGTTGAACTATTCTTGCATAGTCATCCTGTAGAGGGACACGCCCGACTTAGCACAAATCGATAGGCGAAAAGTCGCCAAGCCCTTCGGAACCATCGCCTCTCCCGTCCCGTCCCGCCCCATCCCCGCGCCCGCCTGCCCCCCCCCCCGCCCTCGCCCTCCTCCCTCCGCCCCAGAGGTGCACGGGGTGGGGACCGCCAGCACAGCCATGGCACGGACTGCACATCTTGATGAGCCGATGTTCCACCACCACTACCACAGGTAGAACGAGGAGAAGGGAGGATGAGGAGGTCTTCCTTCTCCTCCTCCTCCTCCTCCTCCTCCTCATCCTCCTCCTCCCTTCCTCCTCCTCCTCCTCCTCCTCCTCCTCCTTCTCCTCCTTCTCTTCCTCCTCCTCACCTCCTCCTCCTCTCCTCCTCATCCTCCTCCTCCCTCCTCCCCCTCCTCCTCCTCCTCCTCCTTCTCCTCCTCCTCCTCCTCCTCCTCCTCCTCGTCCTCCTCCTCCTCCTCGTCCTCCTCCTCCTCCTCATCTTCCTCCTCCTCCTCCTTCCTCTCCGACCTATGGTAGTGGTGGTGGAACATCGGATCACTCCATCTTGTGCAGACGGGTGGGGGCGGAGAGGGGCAGGGAAGGAGGGAGGAGTGGGGAGGGAGGTGAGCGGAGAGACGGGGGAAAGGCCGCAGTTTGTATGCTGTTTCGCGCCAGCGCAACCCGATGAGGCAAGCTTGGGCACCCTCGGCTTGTCGCCCGCAGCGCGAACCTATGAAAGCGTCGAGCCGCAGAGGGAGGGGAACGACGACGACCACAAAGAGGGAGGGACGGGGTGAGGAACGCCAGGATCGGCAACTGCAACGGGCGGTTCCCGCCTGCAGCGGACCAGCGAGATGGGGAGGCTGCCCTCCATCTCGTAGTGGGCGAGCACCTCCAGGCGGGTGCGCGCCTCCTTGCCGCGCTCCTGAGCCAGCGAGGCCGAGACAGGAGAGAAGCTTCTAACCAAGAGGCTTCCAGTCAGCAGAAGGGGGGGACCTGTACAACTTTGGCCAGGAGCTCTGGCCGAGCGGCAAGCCCTCACCCTAGAAGGCCCAAAGAGTTACTTGCATTAGCGTAGTAAACTTTCGGAGGCCCGCGAGGATTTCTTGGGTCGGTGCTGGACCCATTCCCAGACGCCCCCCCCCTCGGGCGATCCGGGCGCTGGGTAAGGGGTGCAGGGAGGGGGCTGCATCGTCGTCGGCCCCATACCGAAAGGTAATGTGGCTCTCGAAGTTCACGCCTTGCTGAATACACCTTGCGAAATGCTTAAGAAATCATGGGTTAAGAAATTCAGAGTCTCAGAAATTGAATAAAACCCAGAACTTCTGTCAAAATCTGGGGATTTACATTGAAAACTTAAGAATAATCGAGACTCTGGCCGAAAACTTAGGTTTTCTTAAGCATCGCCTGGGGTGTATGGCCCTTCTGGCTCTGTCGGGACCACCTGCTCCTCTCCAGGGCTCGCGGCACCGCGCCCAATCACGCACCCAGGGGCTCGAAGACCCCTGGCCTGGAGGACTCGCGTGCGAGAAAAGCCGCCCAATGCGGTGACGACCCCTTCCGTGACGACCCGTCTTCCTCTTCCTCCTCCTCCTCTTCCTCCTCCTCCTCCTCCTCCTCCTCCTCCTTCTCTCCTCCTCCTCCTCCTCCTCCTCCTCCTCCTCCTCCTCCGCCTCCTCCGCCTCCTCCTCCTCCTTCGTTTCCGCCTCCTCCTCCTCCTCCTCCTCCTCCTCCTCTGACTGTTCCGCCCTCCACCGCCTGCTCCACCTCCGCCTCGTCGCCATCGCTCCGTGGCCGTGCTGGCTCCACGCCAACTGCCCGGCGCCCGTAGCCGCTGGCTCAAGCCCCGTGCGGACGCTGTGGGCGGGCGAGAGCCGAGCTGGTCTGCCAGCACGGCATCGGCGCAGCGGCGCCGCGGGCGTGGGCGCGGGTGGGAATGGCGGTACGGGATGGCGCCGAGTGCGAGGAGGAAGAGGAGGATGAGGAGGAGGAGGAGGATGAGGAGGAGGAGGAGGAAGAGGAGGAGGGAGGAGGAGGAGGAGGGAAAAGGATGGCGCGGAGTGCGCGCCAAGACGTTCTGCGGCCCATCGCAGGCCAGGCCGACACCGTGCGAGAAGGCCCGCCGACGGCGCCGTCCTGCGTCCCTCGGGCGAGCCGGCCCAGGCCCGAGCTCGCCAGGAGCCGCGGGCGAGGCCTTGCGCACTGGCTGCGGGCGGTGTTCCCTGCGATGCCGGCCACGGTGGGGAGGAGGCCCCCCGCATGGCTCGAACGCCTGCGGCGCAACGTCGCCCTCCACGCCGAGGCGCAGGGCGTGGGCATCGCGGCGGCGGGGATGACGGAGCGGGGGGCGCCAAAGGGGGGGGGGGGGGGGCGCAAATCATGGCCAGCGGCACGTGCGCGGCCCAGGGGGGGGACGAGGGACGCACTGTAATGAGACAAGAAGAGGCACCGTGAAATCTCAGGAGCTGTCTCGGCCCACACCATGATCACCCCCCCCTAGTCTTCCCCCCCATCTCTGCCGCCCCCGAAGGCGGCGGGAATGGCGGAGCTGGGCCGTGCCCACCAGCGACCGCCGCTGGAGGGACGCGCGGCGCCCCGAGGGCGAGGCCGAGGGGGCCGGCGCGGGGGGCCGATGCGAGCGGAGGCGCCCAGCCTTGTCCTCATCGGCCTCGTTGGCACTCCAGCGGCCGACCTCTCCGACGGCTTCAACGGTGAACGGGCGCGACAGGACACGACGCAGTACGTGCACATCGTTGGGAATGCCACCGCCCCGAAGTCCAAGCAAGCAGAGTTCGACATGCCCGAGCCGTTTTGGCAACGGGCTGGATCGATGCGCTGGTGAGATGCGCATCATCGAGCATAGCGGCAAAGCGAAGTCCGGGCAAGCGGATTTCGAAATGCTCCACTGGTGCCGAACTAGACAGAATTACTGGCGAGGTGCACCCCGTCGAAGACGACAGAGACGTGAAGTCCGAGCAAACGGATTTCGACGCGCCTGATCTGTTCGGCGGCGAGCTGGGCAAAGGCCCCGGCGGCGAGCGCAACTTTGTGAATGGAAGCGAGGCGGAGTCCGCAGTGGTATTCGACATGCCTGATTGTACTCGGCGACGAGCTGGACGCATGCGTTGCCAAGGGGGCCCCAGAGGAACTGACGTGCTCCAGCCAGGGCGAGGTCGAAGGCGCCAGCTCCCAGAAAAGAGCGCGGGGCACACAAGCTCCCAACTGCTCTTCCACAAGATTCCGAGTGCTCTTTGGACCAGTCCGCTGGCCACCCGGAAACAGCATCCGACCAACATCGCCACAAGACGGCCCAATACCTCCAACGCCCTGCAACCATCAAGGCGGACACATGATCCAAGAGCTTGGCCAAGCGGACGCAACGCGAGCCTGCGCGCTGTCCCGGGCAGGCAGTGCTGCCCAGCGAAAATGGAAATGAGGGGAAAATCAAGCTGACCACAACGATCGCGCCCAGCGGGGCGGGCGGGCAGGCGGAAGGGGGACCGGGCGGAAACAGCAGGCAGGGAGCAGGGAGAAAAGGATGCAGTGGGAGAGAAGAGCCACCCGCGACGAGGCCACGGACCTTGCGGCGGCGACGCCGACCAGGCGGCGTAGGCGTAGCCGTGGAATGGGCGGTGGGCGTCGGGGGGGGGGTCGTTTGTGGTCGTCGGGAGAGGCCGTCCGGGTCGTTGGGGGGCGGCGATGGGGTGGCCGGCCACGGGGGCCCCCTGCGGGATCACCCACCGCCCCGCCGTGGAAGTGCCAAATGGCGCGCGCGGAGGGGGAGGAGAGAGAAACCGTCGAGGCGGCGCTGGCTGGAGGGCGCGGGGGGCGCCCGTGCTGCGCAGCAAGGGCGGGGGTTTGGGCGGGAGGCGCTAGGCAGCGCCAAGGGCGCCGCGCACAGCGTCCGCCGCGGAGGCCGCCGCGGCGACAGCCAGGCGGGCCGCTGCCACCCCCGCCCCTCCAGATTGGAGGCGACGCAATAATGAACCGCCCGCGCGGTCTCACTGTGCAGCAAGACGAATGCCGGCAGCGCTGGCCCGCAACCAGCGCGGCGTCTTCTCCCGTGGCGTCAGCCACCCGCTCGGCTACGACCTCGACGGCGCTGCCCGCCTCGGGGCCCCACTGGCCGCCGAGGGCTTCCACCGCCATGAAGACGAAGGTGAAACCCTGTGACGCGCAAGGCGGCGCGGGGACGTGGCGGCGCCTTTTGAACTCTTCGCACCGCTCCGTCGCCGCGCAGGACGAAGCGGCCGACGCGGCGAGGAGATCGACGCGCAACCCAGACGCGGCGGCAAAGTCCCAGGCGGCCGCAGTGCCGCTGCGCCACCGCGGCAGATGGGCGTCGGCTGAAGGGCGACCGTGGTCGCCCACGCGGGGCCTGTCCTGCTCGCCCCCAGGCTTGGTCTCCACTGCTGTCGAAGGGTGGCAGCCCCAGCGCGGCCAGCGGCCAATGCATCGAAGAAGGCCCGGTTGCGCAGGGCTTCGTGGCATTTGGCCCGATTGCCGCAGCAGGCGCAGACGGAGGCGCAGTCGCAGAAGAGCCCCATCACCTCGCCACTGGCTGGGCCAAAACACTCCTCCTGCAGGAACTGGACTCGCAGCCGCCTCTGAACGCCGACCTGCATGAGGCCGCGCGATAAGGCGGCGCCAGTGGCCTCGCAAGGCGGCGTCTGCCCAGATTACCCGATACCGGCGCTTTTCGGTAGCAGATTAGGCACTCGTCGGCTTTCGGTCGCGACCGTATACAGGATTTTTCGGTCGCGGCGGACAGTTACGAATGGGTGCCAATTGGGGGGGAGTGAAACTCGGTAGCATGGAGAACGACATTCGGTTGCGAATCCGACATGGAGACTGCAGCAGGGACGCGACAATCAGTTGCGGGAAACGAAATTCTGAAGCGCAGCGAGAAAATTCATCGGCAACGCGAAGACACTCATCAGCATCATCATCATCGTCATCATCATAACCATCATCGTGGCCATCACCAACATTATCAGCATCTCCGTCGCCAGCTTCATCAACACTCGCTTCTTGACCATCAGCATACCAGCATTATCGTTAGCACGATGAGAACCACCACCATCATCATCACCACCATCGTCAACCACGCCAGCAGCATGTCCAGCATGCCGTTGGTGCCATAGTCATCACGACTGCCAAAGTTAATGTCACTCTATGCCAGACAAATGGACGGCCTACACATCAATGTTAGTATGTCCACATGGCTACCGCAAACATTTGTACACGTAGATATGGCATCCATGATTCACGCGTTTCCGCTCGTCAAGGATCACCCGACCACGCCATGGAACGCCAGGCAGACCATGAGCATTCACAGTGCGCCGCTGATGGCATCATCACCATGACTGTCATCGTCACCGCCACCCTCATCATGATCAGCCGACCACCAACAATATCACAAGCGTCGCCGCAATCACCCCCGATGCCACCATCGCAGTGGTCAGTGCCATCGGCGCCATCATCGGAAACACTGGCATCAAAATCACAGCCATGTCATCACCATCCTCATCCTCGTCATCCTCATCATCGCTATCACCGCCACCATCACCATCAGAATCCCCCCCGTCGTCACCACAGTCATCATCATCGCCGTTATCGCTGCAATCTGTCATCCTCATCTAAAAGAAACTCGATAGCGCCGGAACGAAACACGGCAGCGCTGAACGACATTTGACAGCGACGCTGGAACCAATTTCGATTGCGCGCTACTGGCCCCCAAGCGCAGTTTCCATCGCGCATGCAATGCGGTCGCCACCAGCATTCAGCGCTAATTTTCGGCATTTCGGTCGCGACCGGATTCTGCGAAGCGCTGCCCGAACAAAAACTGCATAGGATGATCTGGGCGGAGCCGCGCGGCAACGCCGAGGGCCTGCCGCCGCGCCCGTCCGTCCAGGGTGGCGCCCG